TTTTTTTTTCGTTTTTTTTTTTTTTTTTTTCAAAGGGATCTTGCCGAGATGCTTTACTTATTGCAGTCATTCAAGAATCGAGGAAAGCCAACCTTGAGCCCGTCCTCGGAGTATGTTTCCAGCAGATATCGGGCAGCCTGGTCGCCATCTACGGCATCATTTATGAACGCCTCGGCCAGAGGGAGGGTGGGATGGACTAGATCCGCGTTCCGAGAAATCTGCAGAGCGCGAATCCTTTCGGTGTTTCGCTTTCCATGACCGTAACCATGAAGATGTGGGATATGTGTGGTGTGGTGTCCGCAGTGTGGTGGAGAGAAAGGTAACCTCTGACAATTCAGGGAGTAGGGAATAGGTTTCACCAAGCGCCCTTGTACGTATGCAAGAAATGAAAGATGGATTGGCCTGTTAACAATACAGGAATAACCACTAGACTAGTGCGCCACATGACATGTGTATGGTATGTATAATATAAAGATATATGGCAGACCACGGACTGGGTGAATAGCAAGCAGCACTATTGATTAGCCCTTTGTCGTCGCCCTCCGATGTAGATCGGGTATTGCAAGCTGTGCCAGCGAATCGATCGGCGTCTTTGCTTACAGGAGCGGCTTTCGACTGCGTCACTTGCACGAAGGATGTTCTTGTAGAGCTTCAGAACAATCGCTTGGTAACTTTGCAGAAGGATGTCGGTAAGTTTCGCCTCCTTCACTTCGGCCCGCTCAGTGGATATGGAATAATGAATTAATTGAAGATACGCTCGAGAGAATGGCCTTTGAGGCAGGGACCCTTAAAGAGTCTGAGGTTGAACTAAGTGCTGTAGCAACCGTTGTGGCCTAAATCGCTCTGAGCCGCAAACAACAAGTCAACTTGGCGTCTGCTTCTGCATCTGAGATCCTGAGTAGCGGAGTGGACTTTATGTTCTGGTTACTACTTTCAGGCCGTCACACTTTGCGCCGATCTCATGGTGGCCTGGGAATGAATTCATCATCTTGAAATTTCCACTGACCTTGAATATGGCTTGACTCTTACTTACCTTCTGATTCGTGCTCCAAATTTTAAACTTACGTCTGGTAGTGTATTCGAAAAGGGTATTGAAACATAAGGTTCCGACGTCGTTCATTCCCAAATAGCTTATTCGCTTACTAAATAGTCTTTTCGCTTAGTTCATGGCACAGGTCTCCACAATTTATGTTCTAACCCGTGCCAATCACCACACAGAATTATATAAGAGGCTACGATCCTCTACTTATACGAGGTGCTTCTTACGAACCTCCAGCTCTCTCTTGCGGCAGAGAAAGTTTGTGGAGCCGAAATGGAATCATCGATATGTGGCGTCTTTTCGAAGAGATTTCCTTTATCGGCGATTCCGAACCTCCTTCTCTCCTTTTCGACTACTACGCCGGTTACGATCTATACTTGACGGGCATACCGACTGAAAAGACTAAGAAGATTTGCGATAGAGGAGGAGCGGGTGTAAGAAAGGAAGGGCGGCAAGGGCCCAGTTCGATCGGGGTCGGGTTTGGCTTCCAGTTGCCAGCCGCCGCACTTATTGGTGGCGTGGCGGCCGGCCGGGGCGGCGGTGGAGGAGGAGGCGACGAAGATCTCCCAGTGCTGATGATTCTTGGTTAGGAGAAGCAGTGTCAAAGTGAATAGTGGCTGGGATTGGGAGGGAGTTGAGTCACAAATGTTCCTGGGACACCTCGGGGTTCTAGGGTCATGTAGACCGTCTTGTTCTCGAGCTCAAGGGAAATCATTCGCAAGGTAAAGAAAGCCGTAATTTCTGGAACTGTGTGTCAGTCGATAGGGCAAGATTAAATAGAGGTCGAGAATAACAGTAACTTCGAGCAGGCAGGCAGCCATACTGCAGCCTGCCATAGTCGTGTGCATCACACTGTGGAAATACGTATGACTTCAGATCTCACCCGGTATCACATTTGAGATTAAAAAAAACTCCGGCTAGAATGACCAAATAATTGGTGTTGAATGAATTAGGTATACCATTGCGCCGCCGTAAAACTCATGCTGTGTTCCATCTCTCGACGGGGGCCCTATTTCGCGATATTGTAAGTCGTAGCCACCTCGCAGTCGAAGCACCCAAGCCTGCTCGCCTGATCTCAAGACGAAATCACATATGGACTCAGATACTCAAGCCTCATAAACATCCCAACGTGCTCAATGCCTTCTTCATCCCACTCACCCATTCCTTCGTCCAGCTTGAAACCCCACCTCTCCCACGTCTTCTGGACCTGCTTCTGAGCGTGCACACACAGCAGACCCCTCCAAACCGGAATTTCCCCGTTCATCTCCGTCGTGACTTTATCCAATCCTGACACCGTGATTCTGGGATTGAAGAGCGTGGGGTTTTGCTGTGCCCAAGCCATCGCAGCGCCGACTAACATCTTAGCAATTCCCGACCTCCTAAACTCCTTTAGCACCGCCAGCCGTCCGAGCTTGAGATATGGTTCTCTGCCATCGTGGTATGTAGTGGCTCGATCGGCGATGTATGGAGGTGGCTCTATAGATGCCGGGTTTGCGCCGGCGTCGACAGCATCGGAGTACTTGGAGCCAGGCTCGGGGTGGGCAGGGTGAGGGAAGGGGACGAGACGGACGGTGCCGATGGGGGTCGAGCGTGTGACGGACTTTTTGCGGGAGACAATTCTACCTGAGCTGTCTTTGATTTCGGGCTCGGTGACCGTGTTCACGGAGGCGTAGATGACCCTAGGTACAGTGTTAGTGGGTGTATGTGAGGACAAGGAATAATCCTTACCAGTGGCAGGATCGGTGGTCATCTGCATCGAATTCGTTTTCCAAGGGGATCTTTTGCTCTTCCACGAAGACTTGCTCGCGAACTTCCATGGCGTCAATGAAGGTTCGTGGGATCACGCTGGACTGTTCGGATGAGGAAAGCTTGCGGTTGTAGCCACTCAGGTCAGAGGGCCCGAGGAAGGTGATGAAGGGAGTGCCCATGCTGGCTGACGATGTCCGGCAGATTTTCAAATGCTTGAGTTATGGTCGGTGTGGTGCTGAAGTTTGCTAAGGGGAAAGCTCTGAGAGGTTTCTCACCTGGCGGTCGTTACTTTACTTTTATACTTTGAGTTGTCTGAAAGACACCTTGGAAAGAAAGAAAGATGTTTGCTTGGAGCTTTGACAGTCAAACGACTATAGATGTGGGAGTATCCTGGTTAATATGGTAGTAAGAAGCGGAAGGCGCGCCTGTCAGTTTATCTCGGACGAGTCTGTCAGTGTTGTAGCAATAAAGGGTGGCATAGTATATATGTTGATATGTTGATATATATATGTATATTTGAGTTCTTGATCTCCAGCCTGCGAAGTGATGCATAGCACATGGTAGCATAACATTGCATAGATGGCTGGTTCGATCCGTGGCAGATGACAGGACAGGATAGGGCAGGACTGGATTGGATTGTTTGGTCTGAAGATGAGATGTCGATCTTTGGTTTTTAACGGGATGAAAGGGACTTGGAGTGGCGGAGAGAAGCACAAAACCATAAACACCCCGCGACCGATCTGCAGGACCCACTCTACCTCGTGACCGACCGAACGACTGACCCACCGACCGACTGACCGACCGACCGAGTCCGGCTTTCTGCCCGTAAAGTAATTCCGGTCTCCGGCCTCCGGCCTCTGATCGATAAATAATTAATCCGTACTGATATCTGCCCGAACTATCTCCAAAGCGCAAAGTGTCCTTTATGGCTGGGACAACTCAAGGATAGATATCATACTTCCATCACCCAATTCGATTCCATCCTATTTGATTCCCTTCTGCTGTCGTTGCTGCTACTTTTCAGTACCCTTGATTGAAAGTTGTGGACAGATTCAATAACTGCATGGGCGTTTGAAGTGCCCTCCCTATTAACTTTCCCCCTTTATCTCCTCTCCTGGCAGCTCTATTAGACAGGCCTCGTTCTTTAACAACCACCCAGCATGGTTTCGTTGCGCTTTGCCCCAGACAAGATGCGCTCTTCGCCTTCTCTTTCCCTACTATGCCTCTTCTATCTCTTCAGCTCCACCGCACTGGCTGCGTCGGCAGTCTTGGGCGTGGATCTGGGCACCGAGTACATCAAAGCCGCGCTTGTGAAGCCCGGGATCCCTCTCGACATTGTCCTTACTAAAGATTCGCGCCGGAAGGAGACATCAGCGGTGGCATTCAAGCCTGCGAAGAACATCAAGAGCGGAGACTTCCCCGAAAGAGTTTATGGATCCGACGCGGTAGCCCTGTCTGCGAGATTCCCTGGAGATGTGTACCCGAACCTCAAGAGGCTGCTAGGACTTGGCGCAGACAATTCCGTGGTCAAGGACTATTCGTTGAGACACCCTGCGTTGAAGTTAGAGAAGGACAAGACGAGAGGGACCGCCGCATTTCGAAGCGGTGCATTCGCCGCAGATGAGGAGCCATGGGCTGTGGAGGAAATCTTGGCCATGGAGCTCCAGAGCATACAGAAGAACGCCGAAGCTCTCGCAGGAAAGGGGAGCACTGTGAAGGATTTGGTTATTACGGTTCCACCATTCTACTCGGCCGAAGAGAAGCGGGCTGTGATTTTGGCAGCTGACTTGGCTGGACTCCGAGTGTTGGAATTGGTAAGTGACGGATTGGCTGTGGGGGTGAACTATGCGACATCTCGAACTTTTAAGTCTATCAACGAGGGCGCGAAGCCGGAATACCACATGGTTTTTGACATGGGAGCCGGATCGACCAAGGCTACTATCTTGAAGTTCCAGGGTCGGACAGTGAAGGACGTTGGAAAGTTCAACAAGACCATTCAGGAGGTTCAGGTCATGGGCAGCGGATGGGATAGGACTCTTGGTGGCGACGAACTCAATGCTGTCATTGTGGATGACATGATCTCCAAGTTTGTGGCATCCCCGGCAGCCAAGAGTGTTGCCCCAACTGTCGAGGCAGTCCAAGGACATGGCCGCGCAGCAGCGAAGCTCTGGAAGGAGGCTGAGAGATTGAGACAGATTCTCAGCGCCAACCAGAACACGCAATCTGGATTTGAAGGTCTCTACGAGGACATTGACTTTCGCTACAAGATCACCCGCGAGGAATTTGAGAAGATGACCGCTTCCCATGCAGCACGTGTCCACACCGTTATCCGGAAGGCTTTGGAAATGGCACTACTTGAGATTGACGACATCGATTCGATCATTCTCCACGGGGGAGCGATCCGCACCCCGTTCGTCCAGAAAGAGCTGGAGAAGTTTGTTGGAAACTCAGACAAAATCCGGACTAACGTCAACTCAGATGAAGCTGCCGTTTTCGGTGCCGGATTCAGAGGTGCCGGGTTGAGCCCATCTTTCAGAGTCAAAGAGATCAGAGCTTCCGAGGGAGCTGCATACGCAGCCGGTGTGAAGTGGATTAACATCCACGAGAAGCCCCAACACCAGAGACTTTGGCAGCCAACTTCACTCCTGGGGGCTGTCAAGCAATACACCTTCCAGAACCAATACGACCCATTCGAGTTGAAATTCTACCAACATGTTGGTTCCGTCGAGAATGTCTCACCAGGATCTGCCGAAAAAGAGGTTCTCACTCTGACCACATCAAACCTTACGGAGTCTGTAACTTATCTGAAAGAGAAATTCGCCTGTACCGATGGCGACATTCTAATCAAGCTCAGCACCCGTCTTTCTCCTTCTAACGGAGAAATCGAGATTCTCAAGTTCTACCTGGACTGCGAGATCGAGAATGCGGTCGAGGAGAAGGAGAGCATGGTTGACAGCGTGAAGGGTCTCTTTGGCTTCGGCAAGAAGGACCAAGTACCATTGTCCGACGAGGAAGCTGCTGAAGCCAAAAGCTCCAGCTCAACCGAAAGTCTCACTGCTTCTAGCAGCTCTTCGTCTCCATCCTCTCCCTCGCCATCGCCATCTCCATCTGTCAAGCCAAAGCCTACCAAGCGCTTCGAGATCGTCCCATTAGCATACACTACCACCATCGGCGGTCTCCCCCAACTTCCAGCCGCAGAACTCACCCGCATGAAAGAGCGCCTCGCCTCTTTCGCCGACTCAGACCGCTCTCGTCGTCTCCGCGAAGAATCCCTCAATCAACTTGAAGGCTTCACCTACAAAGTGCGCGACCTCCTAGAAGAAGAAGAATTCATCACCGCGTCCACCGCCACTGAGCGCGAATCCCTCGAGGCAACAGCCAAAGCAGCAAGCGAGTGGATTTACTCTGGCGGTGCAGAAGCCAGCCGTGACGAACTGAAAGCTAGGCTCAATGAAATGAAAGACATTGTCAAGCCGATTGAAATTAGGAAATCTGAAGCCTCGAGCCGTCCTCTTGCTCTCAAGAGCCTTCAAGACGCTTTAAATCAGACCCAGACAATGATCGCGGGTATCACCGAGCAAATTGCCAACGACACCAAAGCGCACGAAGCGTTCAGCGCGTCGAAATCCGCCGCTGCGGCTGCGGAACCGACGCCCTCGCCCATCGCTGATGAGCTGGAGGACGAAGATGCTTCATCTACTTCCCCGGGGCCTGCCAGGGAAGAGACCTTGGCGCCGCCTGTGTACGTAGAAGCAGATCTTGTCAAGCCGAAGGAACTATACAGCGAGATCTCCACCTGGCTCGCCGAGAAGCTTCCAGCGCAGGAAGCCCTCTCCGCTGCCGACGACCCTGTGCTCCTCTCCAAGGACCTCGAGGCCAAGGCGAAGCAATTGACGGATATTCACGTTGCGCTTATCATGAAGAGCATGAAGCAGCCCTACAAATCTTCCCGCCCTAACTCTTCCAAGCCCAAGGCCCAAAAGCCAAAGACGAAGCCGCCGAAGTCGAAGAAGAGCAGCTCGACGGCGAGCGCGGAGAAGAGCGAGAAGAAGAGTGGGGAGCAGCCGCCGGTCATACAGCGGAATCCCGACGGCAGCTTGAACTTCAACATTGGCGAAGATGGGAAGATGCCGAGTCAGGAGGAGATTATGGCGTTCGTCAAGGCTCAGGAGGACAGGGATGCTGCTGAGCTGGCGGGCAAGGCGGAGGCGAAGGTAGAGGAGAAGGCCGAGGAGATTAAACATAGTGAGCTGTGAGATATTGTAACTTGTAGATGAAGGCAGCAATTGAAAAATAAAGAGTAAATAAGAAGATTATCTTGACGCGGCAGTTGTGGGGAGGGGAGTTTTCTTGTAGTGTGTAGGGGGTTTTTTTTTTTTTTTTATTCTTGAGCGGGGGCTGGCTGGCTTGTGCAAACAATGAGTGGATATCAAAATGGTCATGATACCGCGTTCTTTGTTTCCCCGGTTTTTTTTCTCCCTCCTTTCCTCCTTTCCTTCCATCCAATTTCTTCTCTTCGTGGTGAGTTCTTCTAGGATCTGGGATCTGAGATCTTCTCGTTCTTGTTCTTGTTCGTCTTTAACGGAACGCAACTGAAAGCTGGCGCGCTTTACTATTCCGTTTTTTATGGCGTTGTGCTGTATTGTGTTGTGTTTTGCTTTGTTGCATTGCGTTACCCGAGTGAGTGAGTGACCGAGTACAGAAGGGACCTTTAGCTATATATGGAGATGCATATGCATGCAGATGCAGATGTAGCGAGCCGAGGCGTAATTTCCACTCTTTTTTTTTTCTTTCCGAAGGGATCTGGGGTTAGGGGAATAAGGAAGAGGGGGGGATAAGCGAGTTTCTTTATCTGGCCAGTTTGTTGTTGATTTACAGCCACGTTCACAGTCAGTCAGTCAGTCAGTCAGTCAGTCAATCAGCTTATTACCCGCACATATATAGGCATACACATACATCCTGCTGAATACATACATATACACACATGTATATACACATATACATAAGTAACATGCTGCTAACGGCCAGTCTGGTCTAGACTGCCTATCATAGCCTAGTCTGATTTAGTCTAACCCCACTCTCCCAAGAAGGTATGTATTCCAGAACCTTATAAAGAATCAATATGATTTGGGTGATTTGTGTGATTTGAGTGATCTGAGTGATCTGAGTGAGAGGGCGCCCCCTTTTTTCCTTCGGGACTTTGACTCGAATCGGAATCGGAACCGGGATCGGGAGGTAAGGCTGAGAAAAGATGAGACGAGATGCGATGAGATGAGATGAGATGGTAGTGTGGTGGTACGGATGAATTGAAATTAAATGAATGGAATGGATGGATGGACGAACAGATAGACGGAGGAAAGAAGGAAAGTGTATGGGTGGGTGGGCGGTTGGTTTATTGATTGATTGGTAAGCGGGGAGAGGTTGATTTGATAATTTTGATTTGTTTTATTTTGTCTTTTTTTTGGGACTTTGAGACTTTGGAAAAGATACAGAAATAATTAAGTGTGAGAGGGCTTTTGAGTCGTTCGAGGGGTCAAGACATGTTGTGTTCAATGTGTTGCGCTGTCGCTGTGGTATGATGATGAATGCCTCGTGGGAGGGACTTCGCGTGCGTTGGTATGCGGGTGTTAGTTGTGTGACCGGAGGTCGCTTGCTGGGCTGCATGTAGGCATGCATATATGCGAGGGAAGAGGAGGAGGAGGAGGAGGAGGAGGAGGAGGAGGGGAGCCGACAAGAACGACATAGGTAATAAGGTAAGTAGTATAGCGCTTGGCGCTCGCATCTTTACCCGACGACAGTTAGACGACGTGACCAGCTACCAAAAGACGGTTGAGATTACGGTGTCGGAATCGAAACCGAAGTCTCGACTCTCGACTCTCGACTCGCTATCCCGATTTTCAATCCTAGTCGGGTTCGGACCCGAGATGACTTAAGCTTCAGTAGGACCATGACCGAAACGAAGCAAAAGAAAAAGCAAGCAAAACGATAGTTCGGGAGTCCTCCGCGGAGTGTAACCGATCGTGTTAATACTAGCATTTCCCCTTCATGTTTCTAGAGAGAATGGAAGCGAAGATGAAATGATTGACAGACAGATGGGAGGCCTCGTGGCTAGCGGTCTTCAAGCTCGCTTCCAGCATTCGTCGTCCTTTCCTCCGTAAACAGTGCACTAGCACCATTCTCTCTCTCTCAAGCGAGAAATAGATCACTTTGAAAAAACACCATTATTGCACCAACACAGTATGACCGTGTATGTAATTTCCATCCTGCAGATTCTGTTTGATAAAGTATCGCCAGAAGGCTGGGTGGCGCTCTCGCGTTCATTCGCTCATTCGCCTATTCGTTTATTCGTTCCCTCATGACTTTCCAAGCAACAAGGGCCCACGATTCGTCAACAACAATAACAACAAACTACTGACCAGCATCTATCCATCTATCTGACAGGCAGGTCTATTTTCAGCTGCAGCTTAACGATTCCAAATGCCCAATACCTTCATCCTGCTTCCCCTCTCTCCGCGTTCCTTTGTCGTTGCACTGCACGACGCTGGTGCTCAGCACTTGTTGACTGTCGTTCATGATCATCCATGGGGCTGTATTAGAGATGGCGGCCGCGAGTGCGGTAATCTAATCCGCGCAGCAGCAGCAGCAACTTCACCCATACATACCCTAGCTATTATCATTTGTCTTCTTTCATTTATAGATATTGCCTTTCCTGATTTCGGAGGCTCGTTTTCCTTGCGGTACTTGTGAAGCTTCTCCCTATATATATATACACACATACGGTGGATCGATCTGCTACAACTTGACTCGGTCTTATAATCTTGTTGTTGTTATTTACTGTTCATTCCCTTTTGCTTTTGCTTTGGTCTCTGTCATCAAGTTCTACCGACCGACAATGCTCGCAGAGATGGATGAATCGGCATCACACCGAGACACTCGACCTCGAGGCTGCTCTCTGTACCAGAGCATGCAAATCGGTCGCGCGATCACCACATCCTCGCGCTCGACCTCGAATACAGACGAGCTCTTTAAGGACCTACCAACAGCTGTCGAGACTGCGCAGCTGCCCCTGCCTCCTTTCTCCAAAACCCACAAGAGCAACAACAACAGCCAGCACTCACTGCCCTATTCGCGCCGCTTCTCAGACTCGCAGGAGCTCTTGCCGGGTCAGAGCCGGAAGAGCCTGTATCATTATTCGAGCACGACGAAATTCGTCTTTGATAAACCGGTCACAGAGAGGAGGTCTGCGGGAGGTTTGAAAGCTCTAATGCTCGGGAATGGGAGGGAGAAAGATCCGGACTGGGGTGGCGTGCCGCAAACGTTGACGAGGGGGCTGAAGGATGGGTTTCGGGACTTGATGGTTGATGTCCTGGGCGTGGTGGCTACGTTCCCGTTCTTCGTGTTGGGGGGCGTGTTGGCGTACCAAAATGGTGAGGAGCTGGAGCCGAGCAAAAGACACGTTCTGGAGCAGTGTATCATGGGGGTAAGTCTTTCTCTCAGATATATATCGAGCCGGGTTGGGGCAAATGGCTGACGATGGCAGGCTGCTACGCTGTTCCCGCTTGTGTTTTCGGTTATAGTGGGAAGGACGATGATCAAGTTCGCGAGTTGGAGGCTAGAGAAGGGCGCTGAGCTTGGTCTGCTTGAGCGCTTGGTTGGAAGTCGGACAGTGGGAGGCACTATCATCACGCAGCTCAGACTACGCAGCATCTCGATAGTTGGTCTCGGATTGATACTGGTGTGGCTGTTGTCACCACTGGGCAGTCAGTCGGTTCTCCGGATTCTCTCGACATCAACAAAACCCATCGTCTCGACCGACTTCCAGATATCCTATCTGAACTTACGGCAAGCTAGTCAAGCGAGCACACCTGCTTTCAACGAGTGGTTCTCGAGCTTCGCTGCCATGTTCACCTCCGCTATGCTAGCTCCGCATGCTGCGAAGAACAGCACGATGGATCCTTGGGGAAACGTCCGGATACCTCTCTTCTCAAGTCTTCCGCGTAATTCTTCAGACACCAACGGCTGGAGGCAAGTATCTAACAATATCACGCCCGTATACACATCATTGTTTGGCATCCCAGTATCGGGCCTTCCTCTCGGCAACTCAACCTTCACTATCGAGTCCTCCTATACAGAGCTCACATGTTCAAACAGAACGTCCACGCTCGTTCGCGGTGCGGACTTCTTCATAGACCCGGGTCTCATCTCTGCCACAGGACCATTCTACTCCTTTCAGATCGTATCCGACACGACGACCTGGGTCATGGGTTACGCTGGGGACGATGTCACTTCCCTTCTTCCAAATGCCACAGTACAAAGCCTGGATAGCCTTCCCTCAGACACAACACTACAGACCTTCAGCCCCGGTTTCCTCCTCTACCAGGACTTCACGGGCACCGCGAATGTGACCTCTCTCTACTGCATTCCTTCGCAAGCTTACGTCGAATCCATCGTTATATGCAGCAAATCCTCCCTCACCACATCCGCCACCTGCGCCGTGACCGCGCAGCGGAACTCCGTCCTGGCGCATATGCCTACTGCACTAACGCCATTCTCCCTGAACGCGACGTGGCTCGCCATCACCGCGCTGCTCCCATTCACCACGCCAAGCGGGAACAACATCGACCTGATCCAGAACTACCTCGTCAACCCGAACTCAAACCCGTACATCGAATCCACGCCCATCGTCTCCGCATCATCCCTCGCCAACGACAACAAAAACAACACAAGCGAAAGCCGCTTCCTAAACCAAGTCACCCTCCCGGAATTCAGCCACCGCCTTACTCAAATCCTCAACACCTTTCTCCAAGGCACCCTACCCAGCTCACCCTCCTACCTCAAAGGCGACCAGCAGCTCTCTCCTTTAGCCTCAGAATCGCCATCAGCATCAGCGTCAGCATCAAAATCACCACCAGCCACACCTCCACCCGCATCACTATCCGCCCAGCTCTCAAACGCACCAGCAACACTCACCGTCCCCAGCACGCACACCACCACCTCCCTCCAGCCGACCCTCACGACTTCCTACACCTGGCTTGCCCTTTACCTCCTCTCCACGCTCGCCACCCTCCTCTGCGCCCTCGCCGCAGCCCTCATCCGCCGGCAGTGCCGCGCCCGCGACTCCCTACCCTACGTCTCGTCGCTCTGCCGCGAGGTCCTGCAGCCCGGGGGCGGCGGCGCCGCCCTGGACGGCCTGGAGCGCAGCCGGCGCTGCCAGGGCCAGCGCGTCCGCCTGGGGGATCTGGGCCAGGTGCCGGGCCGCGGCGTCGAGGTTGGCACCGGGGTCAGGCTTCCGGTCGGGAGGCTGGGGATTGGGCCGTGTGATGGGAGGGTGGGAGGGTTGGTAAGGGGGAAGCTGTATCTGTAAGGGGAGCCTGGGGAGGGAGGCGTGTGAGTGAGTGATTGATTCATTGTTAGTATTGTGGAGGGGAAGAGCTCCGACATATACCTAACGTCGAATCAAGAGGTATATGAGTATTTCATCATGATAGAATCGTAGGTGAAAAGGAGGGGGAAAGAAGGACGTCCGAAGACACTCGATTGTGTCCTGCATGTATGTATGTGTGTTGTATTGATGGTGGATCAGGGAGGAACCAACTACTCGTCTATATAGGCGTATGCACGTGACCTGACCACGTGCCTAGCAGAGCAAGAGCATGCGATGCACCCACGTAACAAAGGTGCCTAGTGACAGTACTATATAACAGTGGGACTTGACGTCGCCACTTTTGGGGCCCTTCCCTAAAGTGGGCGAAAAAATTATGTCCCGCTTCAACGCCAAAAACCGCGGGGAACGTAGACACTTATATTGCTTATAACATTGCTTACAACATTGCAATAATATATATATATATATATATTTAATAATGTTATTCATTCTCAATTAAGCTACGAAAATTTTATTTTACTGCGTGTCCTTTGAATTGAGTCAAGAGATGCTACAGATCGAATCGACGGCGAATCTTTTTGTTTTTTTTATTTATCTTCTTCAAGCTTTCTTTTAAGCCCTTTCTATTTAATAAGTATTATTTTTATTTTTCTTGTAATCTTCGTCGTCGTCATTGATTTGAATGCAAGCTAATAGGTTTTATTTAATTCGAAAGCCTTTTTCTTTTGCAAATATTTAAAAGTCGATTAAGTACGAAGCGTCCGCGAACTTAGCAAGATCTTTTTCTCGAACTTTTTTTGATAAAGCAAAGCAAAGCAAAGCAAAGCAAAGCAAAGTGAAGTAAATTAAAGCAAAGCAAAGTAAAGCAAAGCAAGTTAAAGCAAAGCAAAGCAAAGCAAAGCAAAGCAAAGCAAAGCAAAGCAAAGCAAAGCAAAGCAAAGCAGCGCAAAAGAAAAAGTAAAATAA